CAAGGCCATTTCCTGTCTTCTGATCCAAGGGGTTATCCACTTCCCCTCGAGCACATCCAGGTGAAAAACCCACCTTGAAGGTGCAAGAATGTGCAGATTACAAAGGGAAAAGCTTGGAGAAGTGCAGGGAGAGGGATGTGTTGTCAAGACAACAGCGTCTGCAGGACTGGGAGGGGGAAGGAGAGAGGAGTGGGATACCCAGGGCTCTGGTGATGGACACAGTGGTACGGGAAGCTGAGAGTGAGAGCAGGAGGAGGTGAGATACCCCCCACTCCTCCGCACACCAGGACAGCTCCCAACCCTGCTCCTAGTGAAAGAGGATAATTTTGGGCCCCACAGCATCCCCAGAGCCCATCACCTGCATCCTGCCCAGTCCCACAGTCCAGCTCCCTGGAGACTGGTGCTCAGGGTCCAAGGGATGGAAGCTGCCATTCTCCAGGCCCAGCACACTGCACTAATTGTGGAAATGGGGAGCAGCTCTGGCTCACAGAGCAGCACATTCCTATTTTCAGACCTTTCCACAACTTATTAGAGTCCAAGTCAAACTGACACTCCACACTGTGGAGCAGAGGCTGGAGAGACCCCGATCCCACCCAGCTCCAAACCCTCCTACTTAGAGAAAAGGTTGAAACTTTGTTCATGCCTCAGACGTGGATCAGAAGGAGACAGGCACTGAATTCCTCAGCTCAGGGAGGGGACAGCAGGCACAGCCACCTGCGAGGTCTGTCATAGCCAGTGCAGCTGCAGAGCTGCCAATCTGACACGGATCCAGCCTTGGATCCAAGTTCACCACCATGGCAGTGAGGATACAGGCGTGATCAGGGCACAGGGCACCTACAAACCCTGGTGTGAAAATGCCCATCACCATCCCCTCAGCCCAGCACCAGGACAGAGAGAGAGGACAGGCAGGGGGGAGGTGCAGAAGCAGCTGGAGGCTCTGCACTGCTGTGCTCACCTCCTGAACCCCACGTCCTGAGCCCCACACCCTGAACCCCACACCCTGAGCCCCACACCCCATTCCCTCCTCCCCTCAGCTGCCAAAGGCCCTGGAGCATCCTGGCAGAGCAGCAGCTCCAGGCCCTGGAGCACAGGGAGCCCTGCTCCCCTCTGAGCCCCTGTCCCCTCCAAGACCCTGGTCCCCACACACCCATCCCAGCAGCAATCCCTGCCGGGCCCTGATGGCTCCCTAAAGCTGCTGCACTATTTTTACCCCATGGTTGCTATAGAGACATCAGAGCCGCTTGCTGTGATGATGCAGCTGCTTTGGGTGATGCAGCTGCTTTCAGGCAATGCAGCCTCTTCCGGAAGCACTGCATCACCCACTGCATCACCTGCTGCCTCATCACCCACTGCATCACCCACTGCATCACCCACTGCATCACTCACTGCATCATCATCACCACCCACTGCACCACCTGCTGCATCACCCACTGCATCACCCATTGTATTACCCACTGCATCATCTGCTGCATCACCCACTCCATCATCACCCCCTGCATCATCCACTTCAGGTCCTTCTGGACACACACTTCAGTCCCAGAGTCCCAGAGTGCCAGATCCCCGTGCCCATGGTGATGCCACGGGACATAGGGTCACACAACCTGTTCCATCCATCGCTCCCGGTGCGCCAGCTTGGGATGAGCTGCTGCTCCACCAACCTGGCCAAGGTGCTGCTGCAGCTCAAACCTCTGGCCAAAGCCAGGGACCAGAGGGGACAAAAACAGCAGCGCTGCATGGCCACAGGAGGTGACAGTGGCAGGGATGTCACTGACATCACAGATTTTAGCTGATTAACCTCCAGCACACTGTGGGAAGTCGGTACTCCAGCAGGAGAAATCAGGGTCCCAATCAAAGCAGGGGCAAACCTGCCCCAGGCTCCAGCCCTGCTTGGGTCTGAGGGGAAAGCGAGGTGCTGTGGACACGGTTGGACACTTTTGTCCATGAAACCCCATGGAGGAGCATGGCCTGGGCTGGGACCCCCCGTGCCCAGGGCAGCCCCGCTGTGCCCCACAGGTCGGGGAACCTGGGCTGTGCCCCAGGCAATAGGAGCGTTGGCAGCAGAGCCGGTGGTCCCCTCGGAATGCTGAGCTCCCCTACCCCTGTGCTCGGCTCAGGGAGCACGGCTATAAACGGCGACACGGCGGCCGTGTGGGGATGAGCTGGCAGGAATAGCTCACACAGCCCTCGGCAAAGAGCCCAAAATAGAACTCGCCAGCGCCGGGTGTCCCCGGGGAGACGGTGCCGGCTCAGCCCTTGCCAAGGCTGCGCTGGCATCCCACCTGTGCCTGAGCTGGGGGTCCAAAGGTGCCGGGACACAGCGCTTTGGGACAAACCCCCTCCCTGAGAGACAGACCCGGCTCTGCCCAGCCGGGGGCTGCAGCTCCTCTGGGGCTGTAGAGCACAGGGAGCCAACAGCCCCTTGCCATCCTGTCCCTGCTCCCATGGCCTCAGCCCCCCGAGGTATCACTGCAGCGCCCTTGAATGCCCTGGGGACATTCACCCCACAGACCAGAGAGCCCCATTACAGTCCCAGAAAGCAGCTCCCCCTCCTCTGGGCTGGGCCAGACTCTAATCATAACCTCAACAGGCTAATAAAGGGATGGGAACTGCCTGGCTTATCCAGGTGGGATAGTGCTGAGGTGGCCCCACAAAGCACTTGGCAGCTCTGATGTTCTCATCAGTGTCACAGTTGTGTCCCCTCTGCCTCTCTCTGCCCTGCCAGGGGGAAGGAGCCCCCTGCCCAGGTGAGGATTCTGGGTACCAGTACCACCCATGCCACAGGGTACTGGTATCACCAGCAGCACCTCCAGTCACTGCCCAGCCCTCCACATCCTGCCAGGGCTGTTCTGTGCAGGCAGAGCACCCCGGGGTGACACTCGGGCACCTCAAAGCCACCTCATCCCAGTCTTGTCCCAAACTGACCATGTGCAGATCCCATCTCACTGCCCCAGAGGCTGTGCAGGCACTGCTGAGATCAAACCCAGGGCTCAGAGCCCTGCGTGGAGCTGCAGCTTCTCCAGCAGCCATCCCTGCGGCCCCGTTGCCATGGCATCCCCAGGGATGGCAGGGATACTGGCAAGGAGGACAAGGAGGATGAAGATAGGTGGACACATTGGCTCTGCAAAGCCAGAACAGGGCTGGGGCGGATCTGAGGCCCCCTGGCAGCAGACAGGGGCTGTTCCTGCTCCCCTCCATGGAGGTCCCAGCTGCCCGGGATGACTGGCATAATGGAGCTGGTATCACCATGCTCGGCCCTCCCTGCTGGGGCATCTCCCTCCCCTCAGACACCTTAAAGCTGGTGAGTCTAGGCTGGTGGAGCAGGAAAAGGAACTCTCACATTTGAACATCTGCAAGGACAGGTCATTCCTGCTCTCCAGCCAGGACAGCCAGCCTAGGCTCTGGCACAGGGGTGACAACTCATGGGAGCAGCAAGAGGGGCAGAGGAGGAAGGAGTGTTTGTGGGGGGGTGTCAGCTCCCCAACACTTCCTTCCAACAATCTCCTACTTGCAATTGCTGAGGCCCCAGAACCTTCCATCTTCCACCACCACCCCCTCCCTCCTTCTGGCCCTCCTGGGCCACCCCTGACCCACCCTGAGGTGTCTTGGGAGTGGGGCAGACCCTCCTCAACTCAGGGGCTGCAGTGGCTTCCTCTGGTGCTAGAGTAGCAACCCCAATCCTGGGCATCCTGTGCTCTTCCTGCCACCACAGCTTGTCTTCTAAACTTGTGGGTTTCAGGAAGTTTTTTAAGGTGTTTATTTTATTAAGGTCTTTATATTATTGTGTTTTAAGAAGTTAAGGTGTTTATTTTCTTCGAGTAACTTGGTGTGCTCATGCACAGAAAATGGAAAGACAGACACATTTTTGGGGCTTTTATGGCCAGTTTAGGCAGGTACTGCATTAACAGAGTCAGGACAAAGCTACCATAAGGTTTTCCAAATGCTCCCTAACGTGATAAGACTGACTTAATATCTCTGCTAGCTCTGATTCTCATTGTCATCCTCATCTCTGACTGAAGAACACTGAAATGCTAGATTATATTTTATTAATCGCAAGAGAAATTCCCCCTATTGTTAACGTGATCCAGAGGGTGCAATGACAAACACCCTCACAGCTGCAATGGCCTGTGGAAGTACAGAGCCATGGGGGCTATGGTGGTGGGTCAGGGGTACCTGTGACCATTTCCCCCTTCCTCCCAGTTCCCTCTTCCTGTTGGAACTGCTCCAAAAGAGCCACCGAGGAAAGTGGAGGAGGTTGCTGGGAAGCAGGTTCCTGCACAGATGAGAGATCTGGGGACAAAGGAGACCTGGAGAAAAAGGAGGTCCAGAGGGACAGCAGACTGGTGCTAGTCCTGGTACATCCCACTGGCACAGGGAGCTCTGCCCGAGGAGCAGATGCAGGGCCCCCGGCTTCCCCTGCACGGCACAGAGCACTCCAGTGCCCCAGGCGTGCTCTCAGGTGCCCCAGACGTGTGCTCGTGGTTCCCCAGATGTGCGCTCAGACCACAGGGTTACTAACGCCAGAGGGGGCTCAGGGCGCTCCTAATCTCCCCCGGCTCCAAGTGGGGCCGGCTGTGGGCTCAGACCGGTTTGCCCACGGCAGGGTCCCACCGTCTCCATCTGGAGATCCCCGAGGGCAGGTACACTCACATCCTACCCCCGCACACAGACACCTCCGCACGGGTGGGCGCGGACACCCCCCTCACACTCCCGCACACGGGCACCCACGCGCCCCCGCGCTCACGGACCGCCGCACACGAACACGCTCCCCCGCACCCGGAGGCAGGGACGCAGACCCCTCCAGCCCCCCGGCACACGGACACCCCCTCCCCGCCGCTCCCCGCACCCACCCCCGGGCGGACGCGCCGCCCCCCCGCGCCCTCCTCCTCGCGCAGCGCCGGGCAGCGGCACCGGGCACCGGCACCGGCACCGGCACCGACACCAGCCCCGGCAGGGGCACAGGGCAGCGGCACCGACACCGGGCGTCGACACCGGCAGCAGCCCCGGCGCCGGGCAGCAGGTACCGGGCCGGGGGTGGGAGGCGCTCCCACCATCACCACCAGCCGGGGGCGGCGGCGGGAGCGGGACCGGGGTGGCCCCGGGGTGGAGGGGCGCCGAGAGGCACCGGCCGGGCGGAGGTGGGGAAGAACCGACGCCCAGGTCTCCCCGGGCTCGAGGGGTCCCCACGAGAAGGGGCCGTGGGGAGCTTTCGGACGGGGATGCACCGCTGGCGCTGCCCCGGTGCGAGCACTGACCGCAGGTCCAGGGGCTGCAGGACACCCACAGAGAGCACGGGGGCGTGGGGAATGGCTGGGCGGCTTGTGCCCACCCCGGGGGGATCCTGGGGGCACCGGCTGCCCAGGGCTTCAGGAACGGCCTGAGGACTGGGACAGGGAACAGAGGGAAGAAGGAGCAGGGAATGGGGAGCAGCAGGAGCGAGGAGTCGGGGGCAGCAGGAGTGGGGGCCATTGAGAGCAGGGACTGGGGGCAGCAGGAGCAGGGGGCAGTGGGGGCAGTAGAAACACAGTAGAAACGCAGTACAGCAGAAACACAGTCGAAAGCATGACTGTGGCTGCTTCTCCTTCCCTCCAGCAGAGGGGAAGCAGAGACCCCAGCTCCAGCCCAAGAAGCCATGTGGGATGCTCACACTGTCTCCACTGGGCTTCATGCTGCGGCGCCCCAGACCTAGCAGGCTGGTGGAGACCATCAAGAACTCTCTGATCTCTTCAGGAAACCAGTGCATCTGGGCAGCTGTCTGCAGGTGGGTGGATGTGGCTAGAGGGGCAGTGGGGTGCAGAGCAGTGCCGGGAGCATGGTATCCCGGGAAGGCGGGGATGAAGGAGCAGGGCTCACCTCTCCATGGTTCCTCCTGCAGCCACCAGCCACTGCTGCCATCACCCAGCACCGAGCAGCAGCCAGTGCCATGGATGAGGTGACGGAGCTAGAGCTGGGGAGCAACTCCCTCCTGAAGGCTGTGTGGCTCGGCCGGCTCCGGCTGACCCGGCTGCTGCTGGAAGGGGGGGCTTACATCAACGAGAGCAATGAGAAGGGGGAGACCGCCCTGATGGTGGCCTGCATCACCACACACGTCGACCAGCAGAGCATCCACAAGGCCAAGATGGTGAAGTACTTGCTGGACAACAGAGCTGACCCCAACATCCAGGACAAGTCTGGGAAAACTGCCCTCATGCACGCCTGCATCCGTGGGGCTGGGGGGGAGGTGGTGTCCCTGCTGCTGGAGAACGGGGCAGACCCCAGCCTGGAGGACCGCTCAGGAGCCTCGGCGCTGGTCCACGCCATCAATGCCGATGACAAGGCTGTGCTGCAGCACCTCCTGGATGCCTGCAGAGCCAAGGGGAAGGAAGTGATCATCATCACCATGGACATATCAGCCTCTGGCACTAAGACGACCAAGCAGTACCTGAATGTTCCCCCTGCGCTGGAGTTCAAAGAGAGAGCCCCCCCCGAGGTGGGCACAGCACCCTCTCATGCCCACCTGAAAACTTCCATCTCAGCACTTTCCCCTGAAGAGAAGGAGAGCAGCATTCTCACCCCACACGCTTCACGTCCTGGAGACACTGGGGACACTGAGCCACCCTCCCCAGGCCAGAGAGCTGGTACTGGCCGGAAAGCCCATCTGCCGCGGCTGAAGCGGCTGCGGTCGGAGCCGTGGGGTCTGGTGGCACCCTCAGTGCTGGCAGCCTCAGCACACCGTGATGACACGCACATCTGTGCTGATGAGGATGTCATCATGGGCATTGGAGACCTCTCGCTCTCCAAAAAGACCCCCCTCATTTGGAGCAGCAGCAGCAAGGGCAGGGACCCCGCTCTCTTTCCTATGGTGGACGAGCAGGCACTGGGGCCACTGGCATGGAAAGCCACCCACGAGAAGAGCCCGGCTGCCCACCCGCACCTGCACCACAGCAGCACCGTGCCAGAGGAGCCGGAGAGCACCGGCTCAGCCGCCGGCTCAGCCACGGGGATGGACACTCTGCACTGGTGGAGGCCAGGAACCGAGCACAATGGAGACCCCCACCTCACCGAGATGGGGAAGGGGCCGTTGGAGAGGAGGAAGCTGAGTGGGTCCCACCTGGCCTTGCTGGATGGCTCACGAGAGTCTCCCTCTGGCAGTGCGAGCACATCACCCAGCACTGTCCGGCGCCGACCACCTGGCTTGCTGGAGAGGCGAGGATCCGGGACCCTGCTGCTCGACCACATCTCCCACACGAGGCCGGGATATCTGCCCCCGCTGAATGTGAACCCCAACCCCCCGATCCCTGACATCGGCTCCAGCAAAGCTCCCTCCCCGCTCGCTGCTGGGCTGAAGCCCCTGGTGCCCCTCGCGCCCAGCTCGCCCAGGCGGGGCGACCTGAGAGCCCGCAGGAAGCTCCTCCGCAGACACTCCATGCAGGCGGAGCAGATGCGGCACCTCGCTGATTTTGAGGAGGTCGTGGCCCAGTAGCTGTGTCACCATTTTCTTCCCAAAGCCACGCTGTCCCTGCAGAAACGGGACAGTCCCAGATGGAGTGATCACCCGCTCCAGGGACACACTGGTGGCCGCGGGGGTCAGACCTGAGCCCAGAGGCTGAATCAGGAACGACCACCTGGGAGGCCAATCCCAGACCGTCCGAGATCGCCAGGCTCCGTGCCAAGGATCCGATCCTGCCTGCAGTTCCCTTATTCCTCACTAGTCACAATCCACTTTTCATCCATCTCTCTCGTTCTGACACCGAATTCCCCCCGGAGCCCCCAGCGGTGATCCTTGGGGCCGAGCGTTCATGAAGTGCCTTCCAGGAGGGGAAGGGGCTCAATGCTGCGGGGGCTGGAGAAGCGGGAACACTCCCCCCGGCAACGGACCGTGTCGGTGCCCTCTCGGAGCGGGAGACAATCCTCCACCTCTGAGATTCTCGAGAGCTTCGGAGCTCCGGCAGCTGAGCTCACCCGGCACCGCGGTTCTGGACCAGGACGGGCTTGTCTCGTCTCTGAAGCGCCTGAGGTTCAGGGCGTTCATTCGCCATCACTCCGAATAGCTCTAAGCGCTGAATCCCCGGGCAGGATTCAGGTCCCAGCCTGGCTGCATGGGAAGCCTCTGCCGGCGGCGTGGGAGCCGGGATGCCAAGTAACCGAGGGTGGCACGGGCCGCCCCAAGGGGCTCATCCACCGGGAAAGTCGCAGGCACCGCGACACAGCCGGGACCCCGCTCTGCTGCCCGCCCTGCGCAGGGAGCACTCCTCACCCCACGCCTCATCCCACGCTCCGTGGGCCGGCCGTGGGCCGTGGCTGCCGACAGATTCCATGATTGCATTAATGCATTTATTTACAGGAGTCCGTGTGTGTAGTGGTGCAGGGGCAGGTGCCAGGTTGACGCCGTTTCCCTGCGGGGACTTTTTCACGATCGCTGCGTTAATAAAGCGCTCGCCGCTGGATGGACAGACTCGTGGTGCGGGGATCCGGCACCGACCGGCCCGGGGGGTCCGGGGAGCGCCGAGGGGATCCCCGCGGGATTCCCGGAGTCCCGGGTGGTTCCCAGGGTGCCGGGGGGGTTCCCGGGGTACCGGTGGGTGCCCCCCCAGTGCCGGAGGTGCCGCCCCCGCCCCGCCCCGCCCGCAGCGGAAGCGCCACGTCAGGAGGGCGGGTCCCGGTGCTGGTGCCGGTGCGTGTCGCGGTGCGTGTCGCTGTGCCGGTGCGTGTCGCGGGGCCGGTGCCGGTGCGTGTTGGGGGGCCGAGTGCGTGTCGCGGTGCGTGTCGCGGGGTCGAGTGCGGTGCGTGTGGCGATGCCGGGCGCGGTGCGTGTGGCGGTGCGGGCGCTGTGCCTGGCCGCGCTCCTGGGCGCTCTGGGGGCCGGCGGGACGGAACTGACGCTGGAACTGCCCGACAGCGACCGGCGCTGCTTCCACCAGGAGCTGGAGAGCGGCATCAAGTTCACCCTCGACTACCAGGTACTGCCCTGGCCGTGCCCTGCTGATACCCCCTTGCCGTGTACCTGCCCGTAACCTGCTTGCAACCCTGCACGCACCCTGCCTGCAGCCCCTGCCCATGCCCCTGCCAGCACCTACGTGCACATCCCTGCCTACACCCCCCTTGTGCCTCATCCCAATGCCCCTGCCTTTGTCTTGTCCATGCCAATGCCTGTGCCTCCTTGCCCGTGCCCTCCTGCCCACACCCCTGCCCATGTGTGTGCCTATTGCCCCTGCCTGTGCCTCTGCCCGTACCCCTGCCCCGAGTCCTGCAGAGCCTCGTGCAGGGCTGCAGTTCCCCCTCCCATGTGTACCTCAGTTCCCCTCGTGCTGCACCAGGAGCTGTTCCCGGCCCCAGCCCTGTGACCAGCAGTGTCCACCTGGGAGCCAGGGCTGGGGTGTACCCACAGCAGCCATGGGAGCCCCTGACCTTGGCCCTGGGGGCTGTCCCTGTATTCAGCCACCCTACCTGAGCTGCTGGCACTGTGGGGCACAGCTTCCCCAGGGCTCCCCTGGCCTGGGCCCCATCCCATGGGCATGGTGCCCGCTGGCCTCTCAAACAGCTGTGGGGCCGGGCAGGGAGCCCTCGCCACGTCACTGGGCAGGTGCCACCCGTGTCTCCCCACGCAGGTGATCAGTGGGGGACACTATGACGTAGACTGCTACGTGGAGGACCCCAACGGCAAGACCATCTACCAGGAGACTAAGAAGCAGTACGACAGCTTCCCACACCGCACTGAGGTCAAGGGTGTCTACACCTTCTGCTTCAGCAATGAGTTTTCCACCTTCTCCCACAAAATCGTCTACTTCGACTTCCAGGTGGGCGACGAGCCGCCCATCCTGCCCGACATGAACAACCGCGTCACTGCCCTGACACAGGTAGGTCCCGGGAGGGAGGGAGGGACAGAGAAAGGTCCTGCCGCAGCCCTCAGACAGCCTCACAGAGCGGCGGTTGGAGGCTCATCCCCCTTCCCCTCCACCAGATGCAGAAGTGCCAACCGCCAGCCAACAGCCCCACCACATCCTCTGCCCGGGACAGGGGTGCTCTGCTGGGTCTGGGCTCCCCCAGCTGCAGCACCCGGTGTCCATCCTGCAAGAGGGAATTGCATCAGCCATTCCATCCCTGGGTGTGAGCCGCTGGGCTGGGCACCCTGGTGCCCCAGCAGGGCTCTCGGCTCTGCCCCAGTGCAGAACCACTCTGGGTGGGGTCTAGCGGGGAACCGAAGCCACAGGCGCTGCTGTCCTGCTCTTGGGACTGTGTCCTGCTCCCTCAGTCGTGCCATGTCAGGAGCAACGGGGCGCCTTTGTCCTTGTCCCCCAGATGGAATCCGCCTGCGTCACCATCCATGAGATGCTGAACTCGGTGATTGACTCCCAGACTCATTACCGGCTGCGGGAGGCGCAGGACCGGAGCAGAGCCGAGGAGCTCAATGGCCGTGTCTCATACTGGTCGGTGGGGGAAACCCTCATCCTCTTCGTGGTCAGCATTGGACAGGTGATACTGCTCAAGAGCTTCTTCACCGAGAAGAGACCCAGCAGCAGTGGGACCAGCACCTAGAGCCGATGTGTCTGTGCCTGAGCAGAGCAGGGAGCGGGATGGCAGCGGCCCTGGGGTCGTGCTTTCCCTCTGATCTGTGCCGGAGGCGGGAGCAGGGGGTGACGTGACGCTGCTGAGCAGGGTGGACAGGGTGGACGTGGACACCCAAGTACAAGCATCCCCCCGCATCGCCTCCCACTCGCCATCGCCCACCTCGCTGCCCTGTCCCCCTGCCTGGCCACCCTGGCCACACGCTCTGGCTCCGCTGAGAAGCGGGTGAGTGCCCTGGACCAGTATCAGCACCAACACTGGGGGACCCTCAGAGCCCGACATGACTGCAATGGCCACGAGCTGCCCCTCGGAGCCCTGCACAGCCAGCGAGGGGATGGGGCAGCTCTGGCCCACCTGGTGCCCACCCAGTGCCATCAGCCCGAGGAGAGCTGCCCATGGGCTGGGGGTCTCTGTCTGCACCCTGATTGTCCCAGGGCACTCCCAGCAGCGGAGCCACAGCAGCAGCAGCAGCATCCCATGAGGGCAGGTTTTTTGCTGGGTGGTCCTGTGGTTCTACTAGCCCCTCCCCTCAAAGCATTTCTCAGGCCAGCAGTGTTTGATTTGCCCGTACCAGGTGGTATTTTCATACTCACGTGGGTTCACGCTTGAGAGTCAGCCCACCACGCACGCCCCGCTGCAGATACATGCCAAGGAAGCCCCATCCCTGCCCCAGCAGCATTGAGTACCCCCACACGCCTGGGACTGCAGCCCCCCATTCCCTGGAGCCCCACAAAATGGACACCCCCAGGAGAGCCCTGGGGTGAGCCCCCTGTGCAAGACCCCTGGTCTGTGCAAGACCCCTGGTCTGTGCAAGACCCCTGGTGACCTCCAGCCCTCAAGCAGGTGTGGGATCCCTTCCCAGAGCTGGAGCAACTCCACTGGCCTTTGCCACTTCCAAATAAATCCCTGCAAGCATGGCTGGCACCTCTGTTATTGGGCACCACTCGTGCCTGCCCTCCTACCTGCACCAGCCAAACCTGCTCCTGGCATAGGAGCAGGAGCTAGAGAGATCCCTTGGCAGGAGCAGCCCCCCAAGCACTATCCCAGCATGAGGCCACCCTGTCAGTGGTTTGGAATCAGTGTCCCACTGGGCAGTGGGGACCGAGGGGCTGAGGGATCCCAGTGACCCACTGCAACGGAGTGGGGACCCCCCCAGGCAGAGCCCAGCTCTGTGGTCCCTTCCTCAAGGCCAGGGGGATGCCAGGGCAGTTTTCATGGTCTGTCCCTTACCCAGGCATCGCTCCTGGTGCTGTGGGAAGGGCTCAGCTCAGGATGCAGGAAGGAGTAAGGGGCCCAGGCACCCACAGCCCCCTCCCACCCCTGCGGGCCCCAGGAGCTGTGCCACCTCCACTGTCAGCGCTGGCCTTGGGGCAGCTGCCACAGGCAGGAGCACCAGCCCTGTGTGCCTCCCAGCGGCCTTGGGCAGGAGCCAGGAGCTCCTGTTTGGAACAGAGCCAATGGCAGCAGCACTCTGAGAGTGCCACCAACTCCGTGTCACTCACAAGGACCAGGCCCCCCACCCACAGGGACCGAGAGCCCTGCAGGGGTGAACAGGGAGGGCAGTCCCCAGGCCAGCCTGTGGGTGCCCTTGAATCTGCCCCTTCCTGGGGACCCTTGAACTCCCCGTGGCGGGGTCAGGGGTACCTGTGACCCCAGTGGGACAAGGCTTTGGGGACCTCAGCTCAGCTCCCAGACAAGGAACGTAGGAAGGACAAGAGGTGACCGTGGGACACTTTATTGCTGTGCAGAGCACAGAGACGGGAGAGGGGATGGGGGGCACCCCCACCAGCTTTGAGCCCGCAGAGATGCTTTGGGATGCAGGAAGAGTGGCAGCGACCCCATCCCTGCTGGACTAGTGCTGGCCTGGCCGTCCTGCTGCTGGACCCCCCTGCCCTGAGCACCCCAGGGGTTGTGTTGGTCTCACAGGGAGCTGCTGTGGCAGGTGGCATCCCCGGCAGCCCCCAGGGACCCCCGCACCCCCAGGACTCCCCGCTTGGGTGGCAGGGAGGAGGCTGAGCAGCGGAAGGAGCCGGTGGCTGGAGAAGGGGGCTGGGTCAGGGGGCTGTGCCCACAGGGGCAGCCCCAGCCTCCCCGGAGGGGGATGGTGAAGAGCCCGTAGGTGATGGGGTCCAGGCACGCGTTGAAGAGGCCAAAGATGAAGAGGATGTGTGTGAGGGCAGACGAGACCCTTTTCTCCACAGCATGGGGACAGAACCAGTGCCAGAGCCCCAGTAGGTAGTAGGGTGTCCAGCAGAGGATGAAGGAGGAGACGATGACCAGGCTCATCCGCAGCATCCGCAGCCGGGCCCGTGGGATGTTGTTCCTGGAGCACCGCAGTGACGCGTCCCGTGAGGAGACTGGGGGGGCACAGCCTGTGAGGGGGAAATGTGGCTGGGACAGGGACCCCATGCCTGGGAGAGGGTGGGGGTATCCCTACAGAGCCCCAACCAGTGCTTCCCTGGGCATGGGGCTGCATCCTGTGGTGCCCAGAACTCACAAAGGCCGGAGCCCATCCGGCGGGAGATCTCCAGCAGGATGCGGATGTAGCAGCAGACCATGATGAGCAGCGGCAGCAGGAAGAGGCAAGCGAAGCCCACCATGTTGTAGAGGGTCTCGTGCCAGGGCTGGGGGAAGCTGCCACGTGTGGTGCACTGGGTGAAATTGTGAGGGGGGCGCAGGGTGACTGTGCGGAACAGGAACAGCTGGAGACGAGAGAGGTGGGACGGGGATGATGGGGGTCTGCACCTCCCCAAGGAAGGGCATCAGCGGCCAAGGCTGGGACCCCAGAACCTGAGGGACAGACTCAGCCTGCGGGGTGGGACCCACCATCACCCTTGCGCTGGCTCTGCTTCCCACTGCTGGTGGTCCAGAGGGCATCCCAGGGAGTGGGCAGACCTGGGGGGTCACTGCCACAGCTCCTCTGTCGACACCCCTCCATCCCCATTGCAGAGAGCTCTCCAACCCCTTTCCATCCCCCTCCCACAGGCTCTCCAGCCCCTCTCTATCCCCACCCTGCAGGTCACACAGTGGCACCGAGTCACTGACCCCCGGGAGGCAGCACAGGGGCTGGGGACCTCGGGGTCGGTACCTGTGGCACCGCCAGCCCCGCGCTGAGGATCCAGGCGACGCGCAGCATGGTGCGGTTGCGGGCGCGGGCGCGGGCGATGGCCAGCGGGCGCAGGATGGCGGCCTGCCGGTCCAGGCTGATGACCACGGTGACGAAGGCGGAGGCGTACATGGCCAGCAGCCGCAGGTACATGAGCAGGCGGCAGGCCAGGTCGCCCGCCCGCCACTGCAGCGTGATGTTCCAGATGGCGTCCAGCGGCATCACCGCCACCGTCACCAGCAGGTCGGCAGCAGCCAGGTGCCGCAGCAGCAGGCGGATGTGGGGGCGCCGGCTGCCCCCCCGGCCCCCCGCCACCCGCAGCACGGCCAGATTGCAGCCGGCAGAGAGGGCAAAGAGGGCAAAGGTGACGGCCACACGCACCTGGGCGGCGGGGGAGAAGGTGGGCAGGCGCAGGGGCTCCTCGCTGCTCTCGTCAGGGGGGCTCCAGGCACAGCCCCGCTCAGAGGGCACGATGCTGGGGGGCTCTGCGCTGGCATTTCCCACTGTGGCGTCTGGGTCTGCGTGGCCCCTTCCTGCCACAACAGCAAGGGGGCAGTGGCAGCCCTGAGGTGGGAGCTCCAAGGGGACAGGCCACACTCAGCACTGGGGGTCCCGTCCCCCAGAGCCCCTGACAAAGGGCCACAGTGCCAGCACTACATTTCTGAGGCCAGCTCCATGTGTGCAATCCGTAGCTGCTCACTGCATCCTGCTGCTCTTCCAGAGGCCCCCCACATCTCCAGAGTACAGGGGTCCCTGGCACCAAGCAGGGCAGAGGGAGGCAGCCACAGCTGACCCCAACACACCACTCACCCCGGGCCATTCCTGCTGTCCCCCCATCCCCTGCCCAGAGTACAGTCCTGCCCAGGATGAAGACCCCCCATGCTGACCCCTGGGGGACCAGACATGCCGTTCCCCCCACCTCACCTCCATCTGGGGTGTCCCGTCCAGCATCCCCCAGCCAGGCCATGGCAGGGACGGTGCTCACGCGCTGCCGGGGCTCTGTGCCAAATGCTCCCGCATCTGCCCTGGGGCCCGAGGGGGAGCAGGGCGGGCACCAGAGCGGGTACTGGGGCAGGTACTGCCGAGTGCTGGCGCCCACAGCTACTGCTGCAGGTGCCGTGAGGTGGGTGCCCTTGGCAGCTCGGAATGGTCCTTGACGAAGCCGGCAGCTCGGAACAGCACGGTCCTTCCCCTGCCGCCCACGGTACACAGACGGTGTGCATGGTGCTCACACACAGGGACAGACAGCAGGACGTGCCCCACATCTGTGGGAGGGAGACCCCCAGCCCAAGGGGGGACCCGCTCCAGACCCCAGTCTGAGGGGTGCTGCTGGTGCCCCCCAGGTCTGGCAATGTTGCTGCCAGGGCCGGGCATCGGGATGCACAAGGGCTCCTCGTGTTGAGGTGCAGCATTTGGGGGTGGCCCAGGGGCTCTGACACCCACAGGTCCCTCCTCCCAGCCCTGCCACTGCCAGCTGCTCCCCCCGGCTGTGGCCATCCCCATGGCTGGAGCATGTCCCCGAGAAGTCCCTTCAGCCCCGGCTGGAGTGCGGTGGGAGGGGATATGCAGCCTGGGAGAGGGTGGTGGGGCCTACTTTGCACCTCAAAGGCTTGCCCCTGCACCCTCCTCCCCTTGGCAGAGGCATTTAACTTCATTATCGAGTCCTTTCACACTCTGTGGGGCTCATTAATACCCCGTCCCCCACCCCAGACCCCGGTGTGGGGGGAGAGGCCCCCCCCGACACATTAGCACCCAGCTGCCAGATCCCACCACCCTCCTGCTAATGGGGACCCCAGACCTCGGGTAGTCATCAAGGGGATGGGGACAGAGGGGCCCTGTTGCAGCCCCCCACGTTCCCCCACACCAAGCTGGACCCCAAATACCCCCATTTTACTCTGCGATGGAGGGCTCCCACCGGCCAAGAACCACCAGGTGGGAGGGTTGGATCTAGAGGGGGGTGTTGGGGACCCTCACCCCTCCCTGGCCAGGGGTCAGACCCCAGGGTAGGGTGGGTCTGTCTTGATACCCCCCCAGTTGCTCTCCCAGATGGTGCCTGTCTGCCCCACAGCCATCAGCCCTGCAGCCCAGTGAGGGCACCCTGGGCACACCAAACCCCATCCCATGCCCAGCTCCAGGGAACATCCACACGGACACACGTGGGTAGGGCACAAAGATTTATTCACATCCAGCCATGGCTACCCGACGTGTCCAGCACAGCTCTGGCTCCAGCACGGGCAGCTCATCCCCGCAGCTGTCTGAGGGGTCACACGTGTCCTCCAAGCTGCCGGTGTCCGGACGGGCACTGTGGGGCAGCGGGTGCTCCATCCTCAGGGTGTGTCCAGGTCAGTGTCGGGGCTGTGGCGGGAGCAGAGCCTCCAGCAGTGAGAGCAGGTCTGCGGAGAGGTCCTGGGGAGCAGAGGGGGAGAGGGTGAACGGCCAGGCAGGGGTCCAGGCAGGGCTAGAGGTGTAGGGGTGACAGCCCACCCCCTGGAAGGCCTCCCTGCCGGGGACAAGTAGGACCACGACCTCCGGTCTCTCTCGACTGATGGGACCCCACAAGTGTAAGGGAGAGAAGCACCAGGAAGGATGGGGCAGGCTGGGGGCCCACTTAACCCACTGCAGGGAGCAGGAGTCACCTTTCTGTTCCCTACTCCAGACAAGGCTGTTGTTACCCCAAAACCAGCTCCTGCACTGCCTCACACCAAGAAGAATCTAAAAGGCCACTCCAAGGGGTGTCCATCTCTGCCACGTACCAGCCCCATTCCCAGAGTCACCCCAACCCCTGCCAGCACATACCTGGGTGACTGTCCCTGCGCCCATGAACTCCGGCAGCACCAGCCCCGAGTCCAGGAGTGGATCACCAGGTAGATCCGGGGGGGCCCCAGCCCCTGCGCTGTGGGGAGGGGTCAGCCAGGGGGACTCGATGGAGGCAACAGCCCCGTGCAACTCCAGGGAGGTCCCCACTGCAGGGATGTAGGGGGGGCGACCCCCAGGTATCCATCGCGATGTAAGAGACCCCGAGCACCTCTGGGGGAGTCCCTGTTGCTGGGGTGTAGGGAGGTGACCCCCAGGTCTCCATCCCTATACTGGGACCCTCAAATACCTCTGGGAGGGTCCCCGTCATTGGGATATAGGGGGGTGACCCCCAGGTCTCTAATCCTGTATCCGGACCCCCAAACACCTCTGGGGGAGTCCCCGCAGCAGAGCCAAATGGGGGCGACCCCCAGGACTCCGTCCCCGTGCCGGGAGCCCCGCGCAGCTCCGGCGGGGGGCCCGCCATGGGAGGTGACCCCCAGCCCACAGTGCCGGGGGATGAAGCATCACAGGGGTCCGTGTCCTGGCAGCACCCCAGGCCCCGGGGGCAGAGGGGGCAGTGTCGGGGGGCCGGCGCCCCCCGACCGAGTCCCAGCAGGGTGGAGAGGTGGGCGATGTAGCGGGTGGCGAGGCGCAGGGTCTCGATCTTGGTGAGGGTCTGCCCGGCGGGCGCCAGCGCGGGCGGCAGGTAGTGCCGCAGCCGCAGCAGGGCCTGCGCCAGCCGCCGCATCCGCAGCTTCTCCCGCTCGCTGGCGCTCTGCCGCGGGGCCCCCGGCCCCCCGCCGCCCCGAGCCCCCTTCCTGCCCCGCGGGCGGGGGGCGGCGTGCCCACGGCAGGGTCCCCGGGCGGCGGCGGGGGACGCGAGGCCGCAGGAGTCGGGCGATGCTGCGGGCGAGCTGCTGCTGTAGCCCAGGGTGTCCGGGGGTCCGCGGCAGCCCCAGTCCTGCAGTGGGGCCGTAGCGGGCAGCGTGTGGCCGGGCGCTGCGGAGTGGGCCATGGCGGGGCCGGGAGCTGTGTGCCGGTGGCTCCCGGCTGCCCCGGCTTTATGCCGGGCCAGAGGTGTGAAGTGGCACCTTCGTGGCTGCAGCACTTCAAAGGCCGGGGGACTGGGGGGGCCAGGGGGCCGAGGGACGCGGCTGTGAACGCGGGGTGACAGATTTCACCCCACAGGCGTGAGGCCGCTCGGTGCTGCCCACCCTTGGCACCCCGCACCCCCGGCGCTGGGCTGGAGATGGGGCTGGGACCCACACGGGTCCTGCAGTGTGGTTCTGCATGAGGGCCACAGTGGGGCTGCAGCAGGGTGTCAGTGGGTCTGCTGGGAGCGGCTGCAGTGGGGCGGCAGCAGGATCTGCAGCAGGGGTGCAGTGGGGTGTTCTGGGGCTCTGCTGTGGGGCTCTGCTGGGACTGCAGTGGGGTTTGTGGTGGCTCTGCAGTGGGGTGTCCCTGTGTCCCCCCACAGCATGACCCCAGCCGGGCATCCCTGCTGTCCCCGTGGCTTTGTGGGACTCCCCTGCACCCACGTTGGGGGTCCTGGTCCGCCACGGCCCCCATGAGCCAGGACCCCGCGGGGCTGCCCCGTCCTGGCAGTGGCAGGGGAACCCCCACGGGCGGCGAGGGCCGAGGGCCGGGGTCGGGGCTGGGAGGGGCCCCCCCGCCGCGTTCCCAGGCCCCACAGGTGTCGCGGCCGGCGGGTGCGAAGGTTTCCCTGGAAACGGCCCCATCGAGGGACGGAAAATCCATCAGGGGGCGAGGGAACACCGGCACGGCATGGGACCCCAGAGCGGGAGTGCACTGCCTGGCGGTACAGCTAGGGACACAGGACCCCCAGACCCGGTGTGCACAGCTCGGGGGTTCGGCGGGGGCAGGAGACACCCACCCCCCAAACCGGGGGGACACAGCTGAGGAGTGCCCAGCGCTGCCCCAATGCCCCACGGTGTGAGACAGCCCGTGCCGACCCCATCCAACACCCGTCCCGGGGTGGAGGCGCAGTGGGGGTCCGGAGCAGCCTGACCCTGGAGCGTGGAAGGGGCTCTGGAGGAGCTCTGCACCCCACAGCACAGCCTTGGCACTACCCCTTCCCGCTACCCGGCCTCGCTTTCCCCCACGCCCCCCCGGCCCCCTCCTGGGTCTCATTAGCTGATGAGCTCCCAGATAATGAGTTCTGCACCCGCCGCAGCCGCTTCCCACCTCCCTGTTTGGACAAGTGCTGGAGCGCGGCTGGGCGGGGGCAGCGTCGGCCGCGGGGTCAGAGCCCCGGAGGGACACTCTGCAGCCCCTTGCCCTGTGGGGCAGGTGGGGTCTCCACATCCCTCCAGTCCGTATCAGTGGAGCGGCGCGCAGGGCTATTGGAGCAACGTGGCGAGGGCACCGGGACTAAGCTCGGCCAGTGCCCAGCTTGGACTGCACCCCCAGGGGCCTCCAGCCGCCCTGCTGAGGGATACCCGGCCCTTCTGGGACCCTCCCAGGACATGTCACTGCCCACCTGGGACCCGCCATCCTGGCTCCAACACCTCCCGGGTCAGACACTTGTGTGGCTCCCGGTGGCCATGCTTGTCCCTCCACCTGGGATGGAGACACCTGGCACTGACAGTGCCCAGGACCGTGCCCGGCACGGGGGTCAGTGCTGCAAAGCACCGAGAAAATAGTACCCTCCACCCAGCCCACCTGCACGGGGGGGTGGGCACTGCTCCCAGCACCCTCAAGAGCTTGGCACCCCCCGCACAGCCCCCCACTACCTCAGAGACCCCGACCCAGAGCAGCACAGGGACCCCCAGCTCCAAGCAGGGGGCACAGCCCTGTGGGTCCCCAGGTGCCTCAGCTTCTCTGGAGACGTCTGGGGCTGCATCCCATGGGACTGGGGAGACAGAATCAGAATGGCAGAGCAGAGATGTCTCTGAGAAGTGAGCACCCCGGCCTCTCCACCCAAACACCCTGCACTCCTCACACCCCCTGCCCCTTCGGGCCCTCCGTCTAAGCCAGAGCCCAACCAGTACCCCCGGACCCGGGACTGGGAGCTGGGCAGAGGGCAGGGAGCTGTGGGGACCCCTCTGGGTGCTAGGGCTGGCGGCTTGGGGTCCCGGCCCTGGAAGGTCAAGTCCCGGATACCCGCTGCGGCCGGCGGGGTGACGCGGTGCGGGGTTACGCGGTGCAATGATGCGGTGCAGGGCGGTGCGGGGCTGGCGG